ATAAATAAATAAATAAATAAATAAATAAATAAATAAATAAATAAATAAATAAAATGACCTCCATAAATGTTGAGCTGAGTGCCATCAGTACCATTAAGAGATTCATTCTGTTCATTTTTTTCCCCACATTAAGGATCTTTTGTTAAAAATAAAAACATGAAGTTTTTGGTTTCTGTTTTAAACAGACGAGCACCTTTTTACATAGCTGAATAAGTAAAGTCATTTAGTTTCACTGTAGCTCTCAGGTTTTTAACAAGAATCTATCAGCAGCTCCTAAAACTCACGATAAAACCCGACAGAGTCGCTCTGTTCAATCTGTTGCACCTCAGCTGTGAAATAAACTTCCTGTTTTCTTGTTCTTGTTGTTTTGACTCCAGCAGACATTTTTTCAGACTTGCTTGTCTTTGTATTATTTTATATATTTACATTTTTGAAGATTTTATTGTGAAGCACTTTATGCTTTTTATCTGTAAAAAAGAGCCATAGAAAGAAATAATTCATCACTGAAGCCGTGACAAGGAAGGAACATTTGATTTCTACTTAATTTGTTTATTTAATTCTGTTGCATGATGACAATCAAGATTTTCATTCTGATATTTCTAGTGTATAATTAACAATAAAACAACAGATTTTATTACTTTATACAAAATCAGCATCAACAAGCATCTTGTGATAATTAATAACAATCGAAATAATCAAAACAAAAACACGAGCATGCAGTTTAACTTGTTTTTTTTTATTTTAAATTGGCTGTTTTGCAACAAATTACCTCCTTGTCTCTATGTTTTTCTTGTGCGTCTGACCTTTTTGTCTCAGCTCACCTGCTGCAGYGGAGGCTCGCTGCCTCGGCTGGTGAGGCGGCTCAGGATGCTCCTCTCGGACATCTGCAGACGGGCCGACACCGGCGGGATTCTGGACAGCATGTTGGGCAGTCGGGTCACATCTGCTTTCATGTCGCTCAGAAGTTCCTCCAGCTGGTTCAGCACTGAAAGAACACAGGAACACTTAAAAAAAAGTTTGTACTTAAGTGCTTCATTAACATCTAAAACAGCTTGTGTCAAGAAAATATTTAGAACAATTTAAATATATATATAAATAAACTTAAATTATAGTGATTTTAAGTTTTTTTTTTTTTACCAAATTAATTGTGAAGCTACAGGAGAACTGTGTTTGTCGTCAGGTAAATCTAAACATTAACACTTTAACACCAGACTTCCTTAAAGTCTTTGTATCTTTTTGAATTGTCAACCTAATTACTGTAAGCTTGTTTTTATGTTGAGTCAAAATAACCTAAAATAAAGTCAGTGTGTGAAACAGGATSTTTACTGGATGCACGGTTCATAAACAGAGATATGGAAACATCTGTGTGCACTTCCTCTGAAAAMCCTTTTATCTCTCTGTCTAAGTATTTATATATGTGAGCCATCATATCGAAATGAGGATTAAGTCAAATTTGGTCAAAATGACCTAATTACATTTTCAGATTCTGGGCTTTAAAAGCTACATTTTGATACCTGGATCATCCTGTTGTCATAATTAAATCCATATATATGACTTAATTTGTCTTGTTGGTTACAATAATACATAAATATTTGATCTGAATCCTAATTTTATGTCCTTTTAATGAGGAATTTTTGATGTCCTTATAAACCTCAATTATATTTGAATATTGAGATTACCCAGCTAAAAAGAAACAAAACTTGGCTAGCTCACAGGGAAAATCTCAAAATTTTAAGGCGTTTTTTTTCTCAAAATCAGTTTTTTTTTTGTTGCTACTGCTCAAAAAAGTGCTTCTAATTTTTGTTTTATGATTATATTTCAGAC